GTGTGTGAGAATGGTGCAAGAGCTAAGAGAGTAAGAGAGAAGATATATCTGTACTTATCTCTTCCAATTTTCATAGTGAATTTCTTGGTGTAATGTAGGTATGTAGTTTTTTTTCTCTATATAGTACTTTTCCACGTTAAATCCATGTGTCTTTTACTTTTCGCTGCTTTACTTTCTCATTTGTTTCGTTGCGGTATTTTACTTCCATCCCAAACATTTTATTGTTGAATCTTCATTTTTTATGAGATCTTTCTTACTTCAATGAGATTAGTAGATGTTGTCTTACCTTATAGTCTTAACTTTTGAGCATCCTCCATATACTTTTTTACCTAATTTTCTGCAATTCAAAATGAAAATGTTCTGATGGCTAACCAAATTTGATAAATAACTTATTGCATCACACAATAATAAAATACTAGTAAATTTAAACATTGACAATTCAGATACATCTTATTTTTAGGGTTTGTTTGGAACATCTTTCTCACTGCTTTATTTTTTCGACTGCAACTCCAATTTAGTTTGATTATTTGTCTTCTTGTTGATTTCACATTGTTTTTCAAAATATCTGCATAGATAGCTATTTTTACAGTTAGAGTTGTTAATCTATGGTAGTTTTAAGAAGTTATTCTAAAAAAAAAAAAAAGGTTTCCCTTCAATAGCTTTATAGTTACTTTTACAAAATACTGCAGCCGTCCTAGACAGAACCTTAATAAATAATAAAAAATCTTGAAAACATAGCAATTTCTAATTAGATAAAACCAATTAACATGTTTTATTCATTGAATTCCAATAACAATGACTAATAATGGGCTTATATTCATAGTTGTTGGTTTTATGGTGTTACAATAATCAATCAACCAAATTAGGTTCTTGATGCTTTCCTCTTCTATGAAGGAAATGCAGAGAGGAAGAGAAGCATATTTCATTTATAATTAAAAGTATACTAAGGACTTAATTCTTGGAACCTTAATGAATCACAATAGCAAAGTCCTTCAATTATTTTTTCTCAGCTTACTCACAATATTTGACACGACACAAAATTCTGACTTGAACCCGACCCAATTTTAAAACGGGTCAGATTCAGGTTGACCCGGAAACCCAACGGGTCAACCCGAAAACCCATTTAAAACGAGCTGACGGTGTTGTACGAACCCGCCCGCGCTCGCAAGGAAGTTCTCGGCTGCCCGCGCCCGAGTCAAAGGCTGCCCACTCCTGCCTGCCCGCACCCACCCTTGTCGTGATCCCCGCCGTCCACCATCTGCAGTCCTGCCGCCGCCATCCAGCCATCAGCCGTGTCTGGTCGTGTCAACCCGATAACATGATGGGTTGGGTCCGGGTCCAAATATCTAACCCATTACATAATCGGGTCGGTTAGGGTCGACTCATTTGAACCTTAGTCAGTTCCGGGTTCAATCCGAACCCGACCCGAAATCCGATTTTGTCACCCCTGAGGGGCAGACTTTGTCACCCAATTGAAGTGGACCTGAGCCAGTAGAGATTCATGGCTCCTCTGCCCTAAATCCACTCATACGCAAGGGAGTCGTTCACATATTTGAATCATATAAACAATCCCTAAGCATACACATAAAATAAACTTCATAAATCAGTTCCTTGTTCTCTAATCCTTTTGAATATTGATCTTTGATGCAAAAGTCTTCTATACTTTTCCCATTGTTCTTATGTGTAAGTTGGCACATAATGCAGCATTTAAATGTAGTTAAAATCATTGCGAGGTAGTTGCCCAAGCTAACTGAATCTATTGCTGAACAGGATAAACCTTAAAAAGGCTCATTAAAGTAGTTGAGCTGCAGTAACCTTGATCATAATCAAATAAATTTTGGAAGCTTATGATGATACTATTCAGGAGCTCCACTATGAAAATGATTAATATCTACTGTAACACTCACATGACTTTATTATCTTTATAATTAATTTCTTCTGTTCAGATTCTGAAAGGATTGTCTTCATTATATTTGAACATGAAGAGTGCTAATAAAGCGTGGCCAAATTGTATGTTGGATGAGTAAATGGAGTTTACCAATACATAAATGAATATTGTTAGCAATGAACAAAGAATGAGAATTCATAAAGTTATTCAGCTAATTCAACTTAAGCTTCGTTTGAGATGATCTTTTTACTGTTTTTTTTATGAAGTAGTTTTAAAAATTTCTTAAATTGGAAATATTTGTTCTAAAAAGCTGTTTTAGAATGTAGTAAAAAACTCTCCCAAATGAAGCCTTAGCTTAATATCTTTGGATACACTAATGATAATAATGATAACACATTTTTTTTATTGTTTGGGGAATTGAAGTATTATTTATATTATTCAATCATTCTCAAGAATACCATGTGTTTTATAGAATATATTATATGAAAAGTGTGTAACCATTCTCAAATCGAAATAAACGAAGTAAAAACCGCAAAGAAAGAATACAAGAACATACATAAAAAACATAAAAATAGGAAAAACCACGAGGTCATGTCATAATAAGAAATGCACTAACAAAATTAAAGAGAAATTGCACAGATCTTTCTCTCTACACTCTCTTGCACCATTCCTTCTCTCTCGTACAATATATCATAACTTTCACACAATTACAACCCACACAATAACAAAATATTGCATAAAAATTGTGAAAAAATGACTTAATGGTTCCCAATGCTCAACCAACGGAATTGAGATCGAAGTAAAACTCAATTGATTGACACAATCAAACTCCACAAAGAACTAACATATTTTTAAAGTATATGTGTTGCGGGCTATAATATACGCGACGAAAGAGTTTTAATTGTTCGTCTTAGCGTTGCATGGATATCCAGCTCACACACAAAGAACACAAAATTTTTTATGTGGAAAACCCTTGAAAGGGGAAAAACCACGGGCCTAGCCCAATTGAAAATATTTCACTAGAACTTGAGTTGGTTACAATGGGCTGACTCGCCTCTAAGGAAGATCATATTACAAGTAGCAATTATACAATAGAAATCCCGGTGTTAGGTGATGATCTGATAGAGCTTCAGGCCTCAGGGGATGGTCTAACAAAAGTTCGGGTCTTAGATGATGATCTGGTGAAGATGAGGGACTCGGGTGGAGATCTGACAAAGGTGAGGGCCTCTGACGGAGGTCTGACAAAAGTGAGGGCCTCAAGAAATGGTGGTCTGGCGACGCACAGGGCGTCAGGTGGTGGTCCGGAGGAGCACAGAGCGTCAGGTGGTGGTCCGGCGGAGCAAAGACGTTAGACGGTGGTCCGGCGGAGCACAGGGCGTCAGGTGGTGGTCCGGCGAAGCAACGACGTTAGGCGGTGGTCCGGCGGAACACAGGGCGTCAGGTGGTGGTCTGGCAGAGCAACGGCGTTAGGCAGTGGTCCGGCGGAGCACAGGGCATCATGTGGTGGTTCGGCGGTTGCTCGACGAAACTCCGGCGATGGTCGAGGAGGCTAGGAAGCAAGAGCGATCTCCGATCTCTCTCTTTTTTCCTTAGGCTTAGGGGTCCCTTTTCAAGAGGAGAGGGAGCTCTATTTATAGATTTTGGGAATGACATGACCCGTAAATAGATGGAGGATCAAGGGCAATTTGGAAGTGGTTGGATGGACGGCCGATGTTGAATCCCTTGGTCACAAACTGTTTGATGGACATTTGAATGTCTTAGTGATGTCGGGATTCAGTGATCTTGGGCTCGTTAGATTCGGCTCGTCAAGCCGCTCGATTCGAGTATAAGCTTGTTATGTTTGGAGATCGTTTGGTCATCCAAATCGTGGTTTGAATCTTCCAACAACGCTTCGGGTCCTTGATTTGGACCCATTTGGGCTCGGATTGGATCGAATTTGGTGTTGTTGGGTTCGTATTTCCGAGACGCTCAGTTCGATTGTAAGTTTGCTGAAATCTGAGTTCAGATGCTCCTGATTTTAATTTCGGAAGTTTCCAACTTAATTTTGCTTTGAGATTCGTGCCCGATCAAGACAATTTTTGGACGATGTATCAATATGCATTTTAGAAATACATATTAATTAAAATATATGTTTTTAAAGTATGCGAGTTATTTAATTGAATGCTAATCAAATGCATTAGTAATTTTTTTTTTATGTTTAGCACTAAACATTTGAAAAGCACTACCAAGCAATAAAAGCATCTTAGGTGGTAATGGGAGTACAAGGTAATATGGTGTGTGGCTGCTATGGCAAGTAAGGTGAGCTTGCTAGCTATGTGAATTTCAAAATCATTAAAAATGAACTTATTATGATATTCCAATTCCCCTATTTTGATTTATTTCCTTCCAAAGAATAAAAAAATCAACATATTCTAAATATATTTATGTGACATTATGATTTTGTTTGGAATAATTTATTATTATTATTTTTTTCACTTTTTTAAAGAATTTGTTTTAAAAAGCATTAAAAAAGCTATCTATAAGAGAGATTTAGACTTCATTTAGGATGACTATTTTACTGCTTGAAGCCTTAGGCTTCGGCTTTCTTAATGCTTCTTAAAACAATTTTTTCGTACAAAATCTTGTTTTTTGTACTGGAAAAGCTGCTTTAAGAAGCAGTAAAAGAATAGTCCCAAATGAAGCCTTAAGTTTTGTTTGAGACATCTTTTTCAATGTTTTATGAAGCAGTTCTTAGTAAAAAAAATCATTTGAATTTGAAATTTATGTACTAAAATAATGATTCATAAATTAGTAGGAAAATTATTCCAAACAAAACTTTAACATACAAAAAAATGATAGCCCAACAACACGTTTTAATTTCTGCCATACATCAATCAAATTTATTTCTCAAATCACCTCAAAAGTAGATGGAATCATACTTAACAGTAAAAAAATATATCGCACAACTAACATAAGCTTAATTGCACTATACAAACATTTGGACTTACCAGATTACAACGCAAAAAGCCTGAAATCCCACTGCTCATCTCCTTCCCAACTTAACCATAGCAGCAACTCATTTCAAAAAACCAGTCAAAGATTCCTTTACAGACAGCACAAAAACACCACAAGAGAGAAAAAGAGAGACAAATAATCCTTTATAACAGAATCCTTACACATACAGAAGAAGATAAGGAGATAAAATCAAAGAAACTATGGAGTAAACTAACATTTGAATTGCATGAAAACGCCATTCTCAGTACAAGAACAGGGCACCACTACATAATGACTGCAACCAGATAACCCCACCTCTTTAATTCCCTGTAGGTCATACTACCACCATCTCTTTTTGTCTCTGATTAATTCACCTCGATCTCCTTCTAATCTCTCTGAATTAAATTTCAGATTTTTTTCTTTAGGAAACAGCTGGCCGAGCTTTCTCGCCAACAATGGCAAGAAGCCGAGCAACGCCCTGCGTCCACATCTCATACTCTCTCTGTCCTCTGCACTCAAACTCAATCACTCGCTGCTCCGCCGTCTTCAACCCGAAGTAACGCCGCTCTTCGCCGCCTTCAAGTAAATGCCTCCCTGGCCATGCAGAAATGTCCCTGTTTACCCCAATCACCACATCTGCAACCATCTTGAGAAGAAATTAAACCCCATTACAGAAAATATAAATATATAGTTAGTGATGAAGAAGAACATATAATTACTTTTCTTCTTCTTGGTTATGGTTCCAGCTACGTGCCGGCTCTTCATCTTCAGCTTCACCTGGGAAAGCAAACGGTTTTTAAAAAGTTTGAACTTTTAAAAAAATAAAACTAAAATGCTAATCTGGGATTCACCAGGCCAGTTCTGTGGATGTAGACTGAAACAATCTTCCAGTGGAGATCGCCTACATTGAAAAAGATGAAATTTTCAGCACTTCAGCTTAACTGAAACATTAAGTGAGGTGAAGAATGAAGATTAAAGAAACCTTTTCTGGTTCTTTTAAGAAGCTCAGAGCCACGAGCAAGAAGCTCCTGACTACAGAGTCCCAGGAAATTCTCCCCAGGGAAGAGCTCGCCGCTTGAACCTCCTGCCTCGCCATCAGAATGGCGATTATGATGATTCTGATTTGCTGCAAATCCCTTCTCAACAGGAATCACAGCAGCTATGTTCCACATTTCCTTCAAAACTCTTGCTTTCAGCGTAGCAGCTCCTCTTAGCGCTTTCATTTGAAAAAAATATGAGATTTATCTTACTAATTAATCTATATATATAATCGATGAACAGTTTAGATTGACTTTAAATAAATAATAGTTCCCTAATATTTATAATTTGACAATTATAATTTTGAATATTTTAATATTAATATAAGAATAAATAGATTATTAATTAAGATTTATTTGAATTATTAAATTTATAAGTTATTACACTATTGAAATTGCATAATAATTTTTAATTTAATGTTTTTAATAGTTCCTTTGACCCAAATTGCATTAGAAACTTCAAAGGTATAATTTATTTTAAATACCTTTTTTTTTTCGAATTCAATAAGAGCCGATACTCATAAGAGAATAAAAATAATAGAGATAAAAATTCAGAATATTTAACAGTTAAAATTTAATTATAATTCTGTATATATTCTTGAAAAAAAAAAAAATCATTTGCGAGGTGATAAAACACTGTATGGGACTAAAGAGAGACCATTATATTCCTCTCAAGCTCACGTGGACTCAACGTACCCGTTGCGGCGGCGGCAGTAAGAGTGGCGATGTCGCCGGGAGTACGAACACTGACGGCAGAAGCGACGGTGGCGGCGAGATGTTCGCGCTCTGCACCGAGAACCTCTGCGGCCTCGACGCACTGAGCAGCTACGAGGGTGGCGGCGGAGGCAATGGCAAGGTTGGTGCGGGCGGCGCAGTCGTCTTTGACTGAGGCGGCAGCGGTAGCGGCTGCGACAGCAGCCACGGCAGCGGCCACGCCGGCCACGGATACGGCGGCGTGGAGTTGGGCGTTGTGAGCCCGCGTCTCCTCCTTTTTTCTCTCCCTTCGGTCTTTAAGCCACCTCCCCATTGTCCTGCTTCCTCCCTTGTAGGCTGGCTTGGCAGGAACGGTTGCTCTGCAGTACTGTATAAAAATTTTAAACAGTTTTACTTCATGTTTTAATCTCATAAAAAATGATTTTTTTGTTCTTTATTTAAGAAAGCTGTTGGTTTTTCGATATTTATAGGAATATTTCCCAAAAAAATATTTATAGGAATTTAAAGAGGAGCAGAGCAGAGCAGAAATCTGTGCATTACAGAGCAAACCAACTACGCAAGGCAAGTTTACAGGAGGCAGCGGAAGAAGACAAAAGAGAGCAGAAGAATTCCATTCTAAGCAGAAATAAAAAACAAGATAATTTATTATGTATTTAGCTTTCCTCCAAATTATTTCATGATTCCCCATACGGTTCCCCTGCTTTAAAAATCTTTGGAAATGATTTTAAGGGAGGTCTACAGTTTCAACTCTCCACATCTCGTCGGTGCAGGAAGATTAGTTATTTTGAGATTGTATTCAAATGAAAAAATCCAGGCTTTATTGGATTATGGGTCTTTAAAGTTCAAAGCATGAAGCAAGCATTTGATTGAAAAAGCGGTAATAAATTGTTCAGGTGATTTATTGGAGAAAGAGAAAGCCAACTATCTCACTCTCAGTACATTAATGAGGCAGGAAGGTCAAGACTCAAGCGAATTAAATATGAACGAATGAGGAAGATAAGAAAAGACCTTAACGTCTTCCGTGTCGGAGGGCGAGACAGGAGGGCTATCGCTCATGGATCCGCCGTTTAATGGGCCACTACTGTGGGAGAGCCGCCCCGTCGTCAGCTGTAATACCTCCTGCTGTTTAAAGAAAAAAAAAATCAAAATTGGGAGCGATCAGCACTCAATTTTGTGAAGGAAGATTTAAAGTTTAAATCTTTTCTGGATTCTTAACACACAGATTAAATCAAGTAAAAATTTTGGAAGTAGGGTAGTTTAAGGTGCAGAAAAACTTGTCACTCTGTTTACAGAATACAGGGAACGGTGAGACAGAGCATGGATAAAACGAAGAGGTAGCTAATCATGTAAGCCGACAAACAGAAAGGACTATGCTAGAAGAATAGATATAATCAATGATAAATTTTCTTAAATTCATCTATAAAAGTGTTTGGGCTCTGATAAAGAACAAACCAAAACGAAGAGCTAAATGACAAAGGTCCTGCTTCGTACTCACCGACTGAGACATTATTCTCTCCATGACGAGCTGTGAGGTGGCGGAACAGGCAAAGGTGAAAGGATTTCCGGCTGCTATCGCCACGTCTTCGTCCTCAACTTCTCCGGCAAGGTCCTCCAGTATGGCGCTGCCGCCGCCGCCGCCGCCACGGCTAGTTGCGGTGGGTGGAGAGAGGGCCTTAACGACCTCGAGTGCAGCGGCGCTCCAAGATCTAGAAAGGAATTCCATTGGGTCTTTTGCCATCTCTTGCTGCCTTGTTGCGGCACTGGCGGCTGAATCTGACGGCCAGTGCTCGCTGGAGCTGTCCATTGCCGGCGGTGCGGTGGAGAAAGGATGCTGGATGGGAGAGTCGCGGCTCGCCTTTGCTTTATAGGGGCAGAATTGGAGAGACAAACTGGCTTAGAATGTCAGAGAGAGAGAGAAAGAGAGAGAGAGAGAGAGAGAGAGAGTGCTGTGTTGTGTGACAAGAACTACTATGTACGTTTCTCTGTTGGTATGTGACTGTGTCGACCTTCTTCTCCTTGTAGCAGGCTGCTCGGTTCTCAATTCTCACCCTCCAGGCTACAGTTTGGAAGGACTGAAATAATGAACCGTCCTTAATAATATGCGCAGGTAACTTTGCTAATCTGCTTTAACCGGGAAGAAGAAAGGAGGGAAAGTGGTTGTTTAGATTTCAGAACTTTGGTTAATCTGCTTTACTAAAGAATGCCCAAAATAAATAAATTAAATAGGAAAAGTATGTTGATTTGAAAATCTATCCAAATCTAGATTAGTCTTGATATTGACCTAATTTATATAAAAATTGAGAGTTACGATTCCTGAGCCCGATGGTTCTATTTTTCAATCCCGGAATGAGTTTATTTTTTGGCTGCTTTTAATTTTTTGGTGTTACGTGTTTCCTTATAACACATGTTTTTGCTCTGGAATCTTTTTGACTTCTTTTTGGCCTGTGTTCTTGCGCATATTGATTTTCTTTACTTACATGTAACTATTTTGATTCAATAAAAACGGGCTAAGCCCATAATTATCCAAAAAAAGAGCTTGATTAAATTTTATCATATTATAGCATTAATTAAAAATTTCTTTGGAGCTTTGTTTCAAATCTTTAAATAGGGCTTGATGGCTATTGTAGCATATGCAAGAGAGAGCTAAAGAGTTTATTGTAATCCTTATTTTCTTCAGAATAAGGTGATGATGGAGACTTATGCAGTGAAGTTGTGAAAAACTTAGAGAATAAGTATCTGATGAAATGTGTGGAGAATCGTCTCCATATGAAACATCGGCCCTACAGGTTTAAAATGAGAGATGGGGTGGCAGAGAGGACTTCACAAATATGCAAGTAGATCATTTGAATTTGGATAAATATGTTGGAGATGTAGATTAGGTGCTCCTTCTATTGAGTTTAATTTGCTCCCAAATGAGTATGAAAACTTCATGATGACACTCATTCATGGGAAGGAGGTCTTGAACTATGTTGAGGTGACTACTACGTTGCTCAATCACAAGTTAAAGAATCTGCAAAGATGGATTTGACTTAGGATCTCGCACTCCATCAAAAAGGATTTGAAAACAAAAGAATAAAAGGGCTACAACAAGTGGGGCAAGTCTCGTGGGCACAGCCTTGAAAAGAATCAATGTGCTTTCTATTTGGAGATTGGTCATTGTAAGAAAGATTACATGAAGCTAAAGGAGAAGGGAAAGTGAGTTTCCATTTAGGCTAAGATTACTACACTTTGGATGCATTCTTGCAGGAGTGCTAGAGATTTTGGATAGAGTCTCACCTCACTATTAGAGAGACACCGCAACAGAATGGGGTGGCAGAGAGGATGAATCAAATTTTGGTGGAGAAAGTTTAGTTTATGTTATCCAATGCTAGGTAGGATAGAATCTATTGAGTTGAGGCTATAGACTATGTCTATCACTTGGTGAATTGTTTACCTTCTTTAGCTATTGGGAAGAAGACCCCAAAGGAGATGTGGTCAAGTTATCCTATTAGAGATTATGAGCACTTGAGAGTGTTTGGATGTCCAGCTTACTATCATATTCAGAATGATAAACTAGAACCGCTGACAAAGAAGGTGATATTTATCGACTTTAGACATGGAGTTAGGGGTTTCAAACTCTATGACCCAATAAAGAAGAAGATTGTTATTAGTAGGGATATTACTTTCAACAAGGTGAGCATGTTGAAACCTTAGGATTCTAACTAGGTAAAAAGTTTTATTGGGACCACAGAGGCATTACAAAAGTTAAAGTTTGATACAACTCCATTTGTTCCATAGAGATAGATCATTTTTACCTAGGTACCTAATTCAAATGTAGATAAGAGGTAGAAGATGATGTTGAATATGAGGTGCCTACTCAGGAATCTATTACGAGGAATAGGGTCATGCACCAGAATATCTCAAAATCAGTTTGGTTGAGGAATTACATTGCATTTGCACTTTCTGTCATTGAGATTGAAGTTCCTAATAATAATAATGAACTAGTGGACAATCCTGATGGTGATTTATGGAAAAGGTTTATAAATAAAGAGATGGAGCCTCTTCAAAAAAATGTTACTTGAAAATTAGTGAAGCTTCCTCCATGAAGAAAAGCTATTGGATCCAAATGGGTGTGTGTACGAAGAAGAAAGGAGCTCATAGAGCTGATGTGTGATACAAGGGTTGGTTTGTGACAAAAGGCTCTACGCAATGAGAAGGAATTGCTTATGATGATGTGTTCTGCCTAGTGGTTAAGAATTCCTCGACCTGTGTAGCACAATATTGCCTCATTTTGGAGTAGTTTGATGTGAAGACTCCATTCTTACATGGAGAAATGCATGAAGAGTTCCACATGTTGCAATAGACTGGTTATGGAGCCTCAAAATACTTGATTTGCAGGTTGGATAAGGCTTTAGTCCGAGTAGTGAGTATGTTCATCTACTGTAAGAGTTTGGTGAACATTAGAGCTCATAACTATATGTTCACTTATTTTAAAGAACTACGCATAGCTTGATCCTTTGGGACGGAGGTCTGTATGTAATTATTTAGGTGCAATTGTTCTGATATTGGAGTCTGGTTTGTCATTTTTTCTTTTTCTAAAGTGTGATATGAGGTGGAGAATGTTGATTTGGAAATTTTTCCAAATCTAGATTAGCCTTAATTTGAAAGGCTTTGATGACTCATTATGTAATTGATTAGAGAGTTGATTATTTTCTTAATTAAATTGATTTCATTTGAGATTTAATTGATGCATTAATTAGGGGATCTGATTATTACATAAATTGGGAAATTTAGTTAGCATGATTGGGATATCTAACTAGCATGATTAGATTTGTTCATATTATAGTATCAATTAAAGTTTCCTTTATAGCTTTATTTCAAATTTTTAAATAAGGCTTGAGGGCTATTGTATTATATGCAAGAGAGATCTTGAGAGCTTATTGTAATCCTTATTTTCTCCAATATAGTAAAATCATCACCTCATTTTTGTGGACGTAGACATCTTCACCGAACCACATAAATCGTCGTGCTCTTTATGTTGTTTGTGTTGTATAATTTCTAATTTATATTATTTTCATTGTGTATTGCATAACAAAGTACTTATGAATATCTTTCTCCCCTCAAAAACAAAATTATGGATTACATCCTTTTACTTAAATTTAAGATTTAAAGCCTATTTCAATAAATTTATGTGCTATAAAATGTTTTCACAACAACTTCTAAAAAATTGCTTTCTTTATCATAACTTTACAACTTAGTCATCCCAAATAGAGCTTACCCTTGTTTTAAGACCCCTCAAAGCAAAATTGGATAAAGGACATAAATGGATAAAATAAAATAAAAACCTAATAAATTTAGTATTTTTTTCTTGAGAGCAAAAGTGGAATTGAAAAAAAAATATTAAACTTGAAAAATACTAATAGAAATTGTTGGAGCTACGCATGCAAGAGCTAATTGAACTTCTTGATATGCCTGAGAGAGACAGAAATTTTTGTGCATTAGTCCGATTTTAGATTATGTTGTTCTTGTAAGACACCACACCATGTATATATGCCTATAAATATATTATATGATGATGTATTGAAAACCCCACTATAAGCTCCAAGATGAATTAATAAATCTTTCTAACTTCCTCTATGTTGTGTGTGTGTGTGTGTCTCTCTCTCAAGAAGCTCAATCTTCCTCATACAAGAAATACAACAAGTGGTATTAGAACCTTGTTCAAGTGATCTCGAGGTGGAGGAATATTCTTATCCAAGAGAAGGGAGAAGAGGTGGTCGCTATCGGTGCCGCACAGGCACAACAGGCCTGGTGTTCAGGATAGCTTGATCGCACAAGAAGTGTGTTGTAATTAACACACATGAGCATTTTCATGTGAGAGAGCGGACCAGGTCTAGGATCACGGACTAGGGTTAGACGATGGGAGACGCATGTGGATCTTATGTATACGATCGATTTACATGGGAAAGCCGGGCATGGCGAGATGGGTGCATAGGCGGGCTGCCGAATGAGAGTGTAGGCGGGAAAGAGCAAGCTTTACGGCTTAGGCCGGTCATGCGTGCACAAAGCGCAGGGAAAGGGTTTTGCAATCGTGGGTTCCATTCACATGAAATGGATGGGATTCTACTGCCTTGGGTTCGTCCGCGTAAAAGATTAGAGCATGTAGGCGGGGAGGCACATGATGGAGCAGAGATGAGCTATCCTTGAATGATATGGAGAAGTAGCTAAATGAGCAATATTGTGCGGGACTGGAGATTAGACGAGGTATTTTCCTGTTCCCAAGTAAAAGAATGGTCTAGATCTTTGAGTTGGAGTCGAGCTGTTCTTGGAGAGCAGTGTCGAGAGAGGAAGATAGGAGTTGGTTATGTGAGCCAGTGAGGGAGGTGGAGTAAGGATCAGGTTCGTGATCCTATGAAAACCAGAATCAAAGCATGTGCATAAGGTCCAAAGCATGTTCATCTGTGTGTGGGAGGCGGACGAGAAGTCACAATGTGGGTAATGCAGGCAATCAATGGCATAATCAAGAACCTCAAAGTAGATCACACAAAAGTGCGTATGAAGAGAGCACCTTACTCAGGATTGGATCGGTGGATTGTGTGAAGTTGCAGGCCGTAGCAAGCACAAGTAACTAGGGATGAAGAGCAAGCCGGAGTGTGTTCAATGTTGGAGCACAAGTGTGTTGCGTAGGAGCTGAAGATGCACAATGCACAAACGATTGGATCACAGAAGGAGCAGTGAGGGATGCATACACACGTGATTTAGAACGCACATATGCGTGAGTTTGAGCCGTGGATCGGTACACACAGTGGAGGCCGTTCGCGAGTAGGATTGAGCTCGATTCGACTGGTTTTCTCGTGGAGTTAGTGTAGGGGGGCAGCTAGATTGCAACAAGCGTACAAGTGATTCTTTGATCGTAAAATCAAACAAAGTTGATATTGTTGTGTATTGATCTGATTTTATTTTATTTTATTTTTTGCAAGACACCATATCATGTATATATCCCTATAAATTGGTTATATTTTGATGTATTGAGAACCCCCTATAAGCTCCAAGATGAATTAATAAATCCCTCTCCTTTTGCCCTGCCTCTCTCTCCCTCTCTCTTGCATTCAAGAATTCCTCCAAGTTTTACAAAAACATATTGGAGTAAGGCTCCAAAATCATATTGCTTATGGTTCTTCAGACGAGGCATCCTT